TTTCTAAATATTTCCTGCTAAATTTATATATATGATCTTAATAACACCATTTTATGACATGAATAGAATTAATATAGTATCATGTAATTGCAATTCTTTTATCAAATATATCTTATACCCGATAATGATACTTAAATGTATCTAATTAAATATATATATTCATCAATGTATATATAATAATTAATAGTTTTCTGCCCGATCCTGCCCGTTCCTGTAAATCGTCGAACCCCTAGTCACGGCATTTCGGTGATGTTTTCTGCACCAAATCGCATATGTCCAGATAGGATGTGACATATAGAAGTAAATAACTTCAAGAAATGCGATATTTCACAGTAATAAAGAAGTATTTGGTTCATAATTGGGTCGTATGGGGTAGTATTGGGTAGTATTGGGTGGTATTGGGTAGTATTGGGTCATAGTCACGGCAATTCGGTGATGTTTTCTGCACCAAATCGCATATTTCCCGATAAAATATGGCAGATGGAAGTAAATAACGTCTACAAAGGTGATAATTCACAGTAATAAAGAAATATTTGGTTCATAACTGGGTCGTATGGGGTAGTATTGGGTAGTATTGGGTGGTATTGGGTAGTATTGGGTGGTATTGGGTAGTATTGGGTAATTAGACGCGCCGCATTTGAGTAACAACTTTATTACTGAAATGGGTAATAAAGTGAAATAAAACACACAAAGTTCTTTTAAACGCTTGGAGCAAAAAAGGGCGTTATTCTGTCAACTAAATCAAATAAATAACACAATGAAGTACATTTGTACACAAAAAATTATCAATTCTGACCATATCACTGACTTTGTTCTCCATTGACTTCAGTGTGTAGTCAATGGGACTATCCGGTGCAAATGTGACAGGTGAGCATGATTTTTTTATGTGTGCTATTTATAGCTACTCTACATGTACAACACACTATAAGCAATGTAGGTGATACAATGTGTCATTTTCACAAAAATTTAGACAACTGAATTTACATATTTTTGTACCTCCTTGTATTTCTTATTTGATTATGTTGAAAGAATGACGCCCTTTTTTGTTCATAATGTGTAAAAGAACTTTGTGTTTTTTATTTCACTTTATTACCAATTTCAGTAATAAAATTATTACTGAAATGGGTACCTGTTACCAGAATGCAGGATTATTACCCATATGCGCCATTGTGCCCAACCAGTGTAAGTCTTATTTGAATAATTTTTGGTACAAGCATCCCTTTATCCTCTGTATAGTATCTGATGGTTGGACAGGAATATTAATAATTTTTGTGACAATAACGGCAAATATTTCACTTTCCTCTCAGGACATGAACAACTTTCAGATCACTGCATGTTATCATTCCTACTCGAAAGTCTCTTTCAAAAGCATATCTGAGGCCCGGATCTGCATCTTTGGGATGTTTAATCTTCAAAAACACATTGATGCCATAAATAAATAGAAACAGTGGTTTTTTTTACCAATAAGGGATACATTTTAACAGGAAAAAATCCAACAATGGATTTTCACCAAATTACTAGACAATAATCTTTTCTTTCACTGACTTACCTGTGTGGTCCACAATTTTATAGTCGTGCATGTAAGATGCTGTAAATATGTCCAGTATTATTTTTTTTTATTTTTTTCAGTACTTTTTTGTTAAAAAAACAAAATGCTGAAAATCAAAATTAAAACCAACCAATGAACTCATAGGACAAAAAAGCACATAAATAAAATTACTAAGTTGAAATGTTCGTCCAAGAGCTTAACATTCTATAAAATAGAATTTCCCTCAGCCTTAGGAATATTTTTGATACATGTCTAGTTTCAGTTTGATATTTGAAAAATTGATAGCATGCGTTATGGAAAATCAATTTTTACCATTAATTAAAGGCTTGTTACTTTTGTACTGATCGTCAATGAAATGTTGTCAGGAAATTAAAGATAGTCAATAATATATCAGAATACACGTATATGTTTAATATTTAAGTTTTAGTGTACCTAGTATGTTGTAAATGGACTGAGTTGTGATGAATTCACTTTTTGACGATTTATTGTGTGTCACATCATCGTTTTTATGTAGGGATTCATACACATAGATGCTTCTTCAGTCTGTATCGCTCAAAATAACTGATAAAGTATTATGTGACATAAGAAGATTCCTTGTTTATAGACATACATCTACCTATTTACCAAATGCCATTTTGATTTGTGCAAAACTGACTCGGTGATTGTTAGGTTTTTTTCAGGTGAGTCCTCCTGGACATGTTCTATAATAATTGGATATTTTAATATTGCTATAAATATAGTGATCATTTGACGAGTCCCACAGAGAAAGCATGAGGTCAAAAATCACTGTTGACTCCGATATGATCATTTTACCAGGCCTTATTCTATCACAGTCATGTAAGGATACATGTACATGTAGGGTTTTCAGGGGTTTTGCTAAGTGTTTACAGGGACCCATTACCAATTGAAAAATGACCCTGTATTTTACCAATTTCAGTCTTTATTTTCCCAATTGGATTAAAAAGCATGTGTATAAAAGTTTCCAGGCGTTATATGTGCAACGCTCAAAGTAATTGCCGTTCATAAATTCGAAGGAGCCTTCAAAATATATAAATAACGAAAATTTGAAATTGAATAAACAAATTCACTGAAAATTGATGTGTTTATTTACGCTAAAGGAAAACTGTTAATCACATTGCAGGTTTAATTTTTTCAAAACTTAAGACATTTTCCCAAACCTGTACATGTGAAAACACTGATGATATTTCCCAATTTTTGCCAAATGCCGATGATATTTTCCCAAATTCCTGCTCAGAGGCCTTTCCCCAAAATAGCTGGCAAAAAAAACTGGTTTTGTTTTGCAACAAAATGTCTTCAGATTGTTTATGTAGGACATCTAGGTGGAACATTTGTTGCTTGATTATGTCAATGCAGCATCCTTCAAACTTAACATGTGTCGGGGCCGGGGTTAACCGTCTGGTGTGAGGAAGGAAAGCTTAACATGTGTCGGGGCCGGGGTTTACCGTCTGGTGTGAGGAAGGAAAGCTTAACATGTGTGTCGGGGCCGGGGTTAACCGTCTGGTGTGAGGAAGGAAAGTTTAACATGTGTCGGGGCCGGGGTTAACCGTCTGGTGTGAGGACGGAAAGCTTAAGATGTTGATTGGGTTAGAATGTTATAGGTCAACTTATTAGGATTTCACTTTTCTTGACAGGGTATATTATGTTATACCGGTATTTATGTTAACTGCTCTTGTTTTTAATCACATTGTACATGTACTATCTGCTGGAAATACTGTACATGTATGTATAGCCTAAAATATAGATATGATGGTCTCGACTGCAATTCAAGTGAATGACATTTAAGACCCATTGATTATTAGTCTATTTATATTTAATTTGTGTTAAATAGGTGATTTTTGCTTACTTGCAGAATTGGATGTCTTTCGGACATGATGAAGTTGACCGAGACTACGACACCTTCGCTCACAACATGACACTGTTTACTAGTGTAACTCTGTCTGTGGTTCTGATTTTCTTCTTCAGCTATTGTCCTGATCACAAGTAAGTATTCTAAACCATTTTAATATCCTTTTTTAACTGCTAAACAGTTTAGGTGTGCAGCTAGGGTCATATAACTTCACATGTTGATGCTACTTTTAATAAATACAGCATTTTGAATAATGATTTTCAAATTTTGTAACAGTGCATTTGACCTGTGTGACCTTAATTGCTTTAGTTTTTTCCATTTGAGCATCCATGTCTTACTGACAGATGTCTAGTTCAGATGTAAGATTTATCTTAAAATCTCTTAGTTGTCCAGATCATGCTTTTAAAACATATTTTTGCATCTAAAACATATCTATACATCACATGACAATGATCCTTCATTCGTAGCCTGATGTGGTGAAACTGCTTGTATTGGTTTGTATAAAAATGGTCAAACTTTACTCATCCATACATTAATCTTGTCAGCCTATCACATATGTGTTTACATGCAGTTGTGCATGTCTGAACTAAGATGTGTTTTCTCAGTCATTCTGTATAAATCCTTAACCCGCTTTTCTGATACAAAATGTCCTGTTTCTTTTACAGATTAAATGACTGGTCTATGAGAGAAGCACATTTAGAGTTGGCGAGGAGAGAAAAGCTTGGTCTGCCGTTAATAGACAGAAATATAGTGGATCCATCCAATATCGTATTACCCCCAGAGGAGGAACTCGAAGGCGTTCGTATCCGACTGTAGAAAGACTAAATGTGTACATAGATTGTGTCTTAAATGTATTAATGGTGACGTTACAATTGATTGACAAAATTAAAAAAGACAAAAAAAACATTACCTGTTTCCAAGTCTTCTGTATCAAGCTGAACAGCATATTCTAGCTTTAGTGTAAATAAGTTTACTTCATGGTATTTCAGTTTATAGATTTAACATGGAAAGGTGTTATGACTTCATAGATTGATGATAATTAAAAGAGAGCTCAAATAAAAACAAAAACAAGAGAGTTAAGAGTATGGCACAGCACCTATCCATCCATCAGCTTTTTCTCAAATTTTAATGATCGTGATTTGGGATGATTTGGAAAGATGGTTGTCACGGCCTCAGTGTATCAGAGATACCTGTATCTCAATTTTTTTCTGATACAGTCTTCTTCATCTTCATGTAGACTTAGGCCTCATTTGTTTATCACGTTCCAAACGGTTGTACCAGAGTTGTTCGATTATGAAATAAAATTGAACCTAGTAATCTGAAGCTTCTTTTAGTCAAACCTTGACAAAGCCTTGCAAGAACTGCATAAACATTTACAGGTCCGCCAGGATTTACACCCAAAAATGTAACATTTAAAAACAGACGAACCGATTGAAGGTACAGTGGCAATGTAAACATTGATAGACTCTAGATCTCCAGGCAATGTGGATCCCACATCATGATGGATTTTTACCTACCTGAATTTGAGCAGATGTAATTTTGTAAAATTATTGTGTGAAAATATTCAGATGAAGTTTTAAGACAAAACTGTTTTAATTGTAAGTGTAAACTTTGCCATTTTTGAGACAGATTGTTGAATTCCCATATTCTAAATCTTAGGATAATAGCATGTTATCTCGGATATAAATACCAGGGTATGCTTAGCAGTTAATCAGATTGGTTTAGCAGTATGGAATGCTTACATGTACATATTTTGGCATTTAATAAATTGGCATGAATTTATCCATATGCAAATATATAGAATTTAGAAATGTTACCAACCTGAAACCTTCCATACTTCATTCCCTAGGTGAGGTTTTAGAGCCACACTCCAACAATATCCACTTTCAGACCTTTTTATATATACTTCATGTACAGTACTAGATGGTTTTAGATATATGGGCTGCATGATGCTGGGCCAGCCTGATTGCTAGGTGATAGTTTGGATCCTGGAGACATTAGGATGTGGTTGTTGCCTTTATTTAGTGAGACACTTTAACCTTGTTGCTCAAAGTAAGCCTGGATACCAGTAGAGTATAATATGGCCCAGGTAGAATATTAGGTTTCTGTGCTGTAGTAATCAAATGATTACATCCTTGAAATTCCAGGAGCAGCACTCACTTTCATTCTCTACAACCCTGGAATGTGTCCTTACAAAATCAAAAGTATGCTATCTCAATGGTTTCAAGTAAAAAAGAACTTAACCAATAGCTAGGCTGATACCAGTCCTTTTAAGATTACAGAAGAGTGACACTAAACTTAAAAGCTGGTTAATTTTACTGTTACACTGCCTCACAATTATTTTGATGTACATCAAAATCATCCAGATAGTTTGAACAGGGCCTTCAATTTTACCATGACATATTCCAGGTGAGCAGGGAAGGTAAGAGAGCATAACCAGTTGATTTTTTTAAGATGAGTATGGTACTAAAGATACACTGTTGGTAATACAGACCCATAACAAACGGAACATGTGTACAACCTCCGCTTACATATATATATGGTGGTACAAAAACAGATCAATTGGTAAAATGCACTTGACAAAAGCCATCTCACACAGTCTGTGTGTGTGGAGTGCTATCAGTAATCAGTAATTTCCTTGAGATCAGATCAGACACTATACAAATGTATATTAATAAATAACATATCCTAACGCCAATTATGAAAGAATCTTTCAGATCTACAGAAGAGGATCCTTTTATTACCTACTTTGCTCTTCATGATCATTTTCTTTACAGGTACTTTTACCCAATCCAATGTTGGAAATCCTTAACGGGAACCTTGTACATTAATTTAAATTTCCTAATGTTGCATTCTGTTTGTTATGGGTCTGTATCAGAAATGTTTTTGTATAAGAACTGCAGAATTATACTCAACATGCTACAAAAATTGTAATTCTTACATAATTAGAAGTGCTGTAAATGAGGAATGAGTTTCCATTTTGGTCAATGGTACTTAAACAAGAGACCAAGAGGAACATACCTAGAACATTTTAGAAAGGGTTGATCACTCTAGTACTTTCTGAGAAATAGAGGTAGCAAAACTAAGCTGTCATTTCAAAGATGGCCTCCAGTAGGCCATGTTGTTTACCCATCAGTTTAAAAAACAAACATGCACAACAAGAGACCAAGAGGAACTTGCATATAAATCTGAGAAAGATCCCACAAACTCTTTCTCAGAAATAGGAATAACAAACCTTAACTGTCAAAATCCAAGATGGCCACCCATCGGCCATTTTTTCCCCTGATCAGACCCAAAATTTGGTACACGTAACTAGGGACCACGGGGAACCTTCTTGTGAAGGATCCCTAGCTCCTGTACTTTCTGAAAAATAGCGCTAATAATCTATATCTTACAAAAGTCAAGATGGCAACCTGTCGGCCATCTTGGTTTTCCAATCTAAGCAAAAATAGGATATGAATAACTATAGGGTCCATGGGAAACCTTCATGTGGCATTTGTAAGATCCCTCATATAGTTTCAGAGAAATAGTGCTAACAAACTTAAATTCTCAAAATTCAAGATGACTGTGTCGGCTTTTTAGAAAAGCTTTAACAAAAAGGAAATTCCTATTATTTCCTCCTTTCCTTTATTTGCAAGGGATGTGATGTTTAACAAAACAAATTTAATTTCTATTGAAAAAATGCTTGTTCCTACATATTCAAGTTAAAGTCAAACAAAACTAATTTTATCAAATTGGAGACATGATGGGTAGAAATATATATCAATTATAGCAGGTTATCTAATTTTAACAAAGAAAAATCACAAAAACTATGAAAAAGAAAATAGCGAAACACTTTTAACAGTAAACAAGAGATAATAAGTATTTCAGTATAACCGTAACGATGACTTACAGTTACCAAGGTGATTACTCACAGTAACCAAGGCGATAACTCACAGTTACCAAGGTGATTACTCACAGTAACCAAGGCGATAACTCACAGTTACCAAGGTGATTACTCACAGTAACCAAGGCGATAACTCACAGTTACCAAGGTGATTACTCACAGTAACCAAGGCGATAACTCACAGTTACCAAGGTGATTACTCACAGTAACCAAGGCGATAACTCACAGTTACCAAGGTGATTACTCACAGTAACCAAGGCGATAACTCACAGTTACCAAGGTGATTACTCACAGTAACCAAGGCGATAACTCACAGTTACCAAGGTGATTACTCACATTAACCAAGGCGATAACTCACAGTTACCAAGGTGATTACTCACATTAACCAAGAGGATAACTCACAGTAACCAAGGCGATAACTCACAGTAACAAAGGCGACAACTCGCAGTAAACAAGAGTATAACTCACAGTAACCAAGGCGATTACATACAGTAACCAAGGCGACAACTCGCAGTAAACAAGAGGATAACTCACAGTAACCAAGGCGATAACTCACAGTAACAAAGGCGACAACTCGCAGTAAACAAGAAGATAACTCACAGTAACCAAGGCGATAACATACAGTAACCAAGGCGACAACTCGCAGTAACCTAGGCGATTACATACAGTAACCAAGGCGATAACTAGCAGTAAACAAGTGGATAACTCACAGTAATTAAGACGATAACTAACAATAACCAAAGCGATAACTTATAGTAACCAAGTGGATAACTCAAAGTAATTAAGACGATAACTAACAATAACCAAAGCGATAACTTATAGTAAACAAGTGGATAACTCCTAGTAATTAAGACGATAACTAACAATAACCAAAGCGATAACTTATAGTAACCAAGACGATTACTAAGAATAACCAATGCGATAACTTACAGTTATCAAGGCGAAAACTAACAGTAACCAAGGCGATAACTAACAGTTAGCAAGACGAAAACTAACAGTAATCAAGGCGATAACTAACAGTTAGCAAGACGAAAACTAACAGTAACCAAGGCGATAACTAACAGTATTCAAGGAGATAACTTATAGTAACCAAAGCGATAACTTATAGTAACAAAGGCGAAAACTAACGGTAACCAAGGCGATAACTAACAGTTAGCAAGGCGAAAACTAACAGTAACCAAGGCGATAACTAACAGTATTCAAGGAGATAATGAAACATAAATGACAGTTACTAACGAAATAACAAAACCTTGGTAACAGGAACAATGGTTAGAATTAAAAAAATATTTTAGGGATTACAAAAAACAGTTTCCAAGGGATAACAATATAATAACAATGAAGATTACTATCAAACATTAAACAAGTAGATAGATAACAACAATAACAGTAACAAAGGAGGTAGCAAAAAAAAGTAACAATAATTATCAAAATTATAACGGGAGATAACAACACACAACAATTCAAATCCGTTACAAATGAGAAAATGGACGAGTACCGGTTATTAAAGATATCACAATAGTGACGGTGGAGATGACGAATGTTACCAAGGAGATAAAATAGTAGCAATAGACAAAACAAAACAGTAACAAAGATGACAACAAAACAGGTATGATAGTAACCAAGGGAATACAAAATAGTAGAAGTAGCAATAGATATAACAAAACTGTAACAAGGAGATAACAACAGTTACCAAGGTGATACAAATATAGTTATTAAGGGAGTGACAAAACAGTTACGATAGAGATTATTAAACAGTTATATAGTAACCAATGACATGGGGGGAAATAGTAATAGTTACCAAGGTGACCAGAAAGCAGTGTCGACAGTAATAATGGAGATAGCAAAACAGTGACAATGGAGATAAACTACAGAAAGAAGATCCAATCACAGAGCAAAACTTTCCAGAATTTTTTTTATTTTTCAACTCACTTGGATACTTTTACATGAAATCAAGCTTATACCACGTTTGTTTAAATGTCTATCCTTTGAGCTGCTCTGGCGTCCAACCACCGTGCATGTCACTCAAAGTACTGATGCTTACAAAACACCCTCAATGAATCTAACGAAGTGTTCGTGTCTACTTCATAAGCCTTGCCAACATACACAGTGCACGATGATTTCTCGACGTTCACGTTCTGTAGCGCCTTTATCGCCACCTTAATAATGACATCACGACTGTCCCTGACAGAGATATTTAGCGAGCACAGCATCCTTGTCCTCGCCAACCATGAACTCAACCCATTCTGCTATGTACACGTCCCGCGACAACTTGCCTGTTTTGTTCTTATCAAGATCGCCAAAGATGGCTCGGGTGGCTTCCTCTTGTTCGATACCGAAGCAGCGAAAGCCCCGGATCATATCGTCCACTGTCATAAACCCATCGCTGTCTGTATCAAACAGAGTGAAGAACATGGTCACCATTCTGGTGAAGTTTTTCACGAATAAGTCCTTGTTGACTTCCACAAGCTGGCCGAACGCCTTCACATATTGGTCCTCCGTCATCCTCTGGTGGCTGTTGAGAATAGTCTCGATCTCTATTAGGGCCGGACAGTTGTCTGCCGTGATGCCTCCCGGCTTTCCCGCTTTCGCGACTTCTTTGCCCTCACTGATGATAATGGACCAGCAGTTTTGCAGCCAATGTTTGAGGTCGGCCTCGAGTGCGGCGGTTGGTTTAAACTCCTTAACGAACACGTCCGCCAAGAGGTCAAAATCCTCCATCCCCATTCCGCCGTCATGCTTTAAATTGTACATCTTGAACCACATTCGAATTTTACCTTCAATGAACTTGCTGAAAGTAACGGTGGAAGCGGCAGCCATGATGTTCGTATAAATTATACAAGTAGCGTTGCGTCTGCTTACAACTCCTTCCCAATCTGCTATACGGCTGGGTCGCTGGGGCTGTTTTATACACAGCTGGTCATCTCGTGTGTTCATGACACATAAACCCCTGACCACATGCTTTACACGACCAGACAATAATCGGATGGAGTATGTTTTAATTTAATATCAGACCTGTTAATCAGATTGGTATTGCGAGGCATGTCAGCGTATGGGCTGATTTTCCTTAGTGCTGCTGCCATTTGCCTTGACTTCGAGTGTGAACTCTGCTGTCACCTCGAATGTGAACTCTGCTATCACCTCGAGTGTGACCTCTGATATGACCTCTGATTGCTACACAGAGATAATGAACGTATTACAGAAATCATTAACTTAGAAAATATTATAGATAATGCAAATATCTGCCAGAACGCTGTCACGGTGGAAAGTTAACATGGAACACCCAGGACTATGGCTCGCTCATATGGAGGTGGTAATTTACTACACGAAATTCTTAAAATCAGTATTGCTGTAAGTTGTATGTTGAAGTTAAGAAAACTACAAAAATATCACCAAATGTTATATGGCTTAAATGAAAGATTAACATCGACATCCATTTGCATGAAACAATGTTTATGCTTCTTTATCCGTATTATACGGAGCCCGTTAACTGACATGCTACACACTTATTTTATTTCGTTTTATCGAATTATTATTTCGTTTTATCGAGTTATTATTTCCTTAAAACGAATTATTAGGGAATATCCCTGTCTATGGTTTAAAATCCAACAAATGTCATCATGCTTTAAACCTAATAAGAAATAATTCTTCAACAGCTCGCCACGATAATCAGCCATTATCAAAGTGAAAGAGAGGCTGACATTTATTCGTTTAAACGAAATAATATTTCGATAAAACGAAATGATATCTCGTTATAATGAAATAATATTTCGAAAAAACGAAATAATAATTCGTTATACCGAAATAACATTTCGAAAAAACGAAATAATAATTCGTTTGAACGAAATATTTATTCGAAAAAACGAAATAATAATTCGAAAAAACGAAATAATAATTCGAAAAAACGAAATAAAATAAGTGTGTAGCATGTCAGTTAACGGGCTCCGTAGTATTAGTCTTGCAGCTGTAATTTATCCTGGCACTGTTAACCGATGGAATAATAGTAAAATTATCTATAGTAGTCTAAAGTTGTAACGGTGTAACGTTATAATGGGGGTTAAAGCCGTCTTTCCAGTTGACCTGTATTATACATATTTTTCACATGTTTTTTTTATTCTTCTGAGCCATACTACCACTATTGAGTTCTTAATGGACACATTACCATATTGTGCAGAAAAGCGTTTACTTTGGTTTTTCTTGCATCTGCCAACACCATTTTCAAATAGGCGCTTGACTTGTTATTCAGCGATATTTCAACAGAAATATATATATTGTCAATGTCACTTTTTATTCGACGATTATGCATCTAAAGTGGAAAATGTATACAAAATTTGGATTGCTTATGATTGATATTAAATTTGACTATTAATTTCAGTGGATATTTCCAATTTTAACCGGTTTAAGTAATTCGATGTCCAATAAAATGGTACGATTTTCTGCATTTGCAAATTATACAATAGGTGATCTTTTGGTAGTAAAGAATTTTCCGACAAAGTTATAAAAGCATTCCATGGTCAGAGAAAAGTTTGACTGTAACCTTCAGTAATATCTACTGTCGCGAGGAAGCTATTGGTCTAAGAGTTGTATGAACTGCTTAACGCATACATATTCATTTAGTTCTTCGACTTATTGCATTCACTTGCCATACTTTAAAATCGAGCTCTTCCACGCCAGAAGGTGGTTTGCTCTGCTGGTAGACCATCGGCCTCTAAGGTTGGTCGTAACCTCGCAGCAGATATGCATTCTTGCAAGGTTGACATGTAGTACTAGTTTGAAAAGAATGGTATGTCACCATGGTAAAATACTAGCGCTTTCTACCGACTAGGCTAGGGAGAATTTTTCGTTTAGCTCATTCGGTAGAGCGTTAGACTAGTAAGCCAGATGTACCGGGTTCGATTCCTAGCGGAGGCATTGAAAAAATAATGACCTGTTACATTGGCGCCCACGTAGGGACCCGTGAGATTTGACAAAATACTCTGCAATACTTGCAAAGGAATCGCTATGACCTCTGGAAAACTCGATACGAGTTCTTTCCTGGAGGGGGTGTATGTCACCCTGGTAAAATACTAGCCCCTTCCTACCGACACAGCTAGGGATAATTTCTTATTAGCTCATTTGGTAGAGCGTAGGACTAGTAAGCCAGAGGTCCCGGGTTTGACTCTTGGTGGAAGTTTTGAAAAAAATAAGACCTCTGTTACTGTTACTGTATAGGGCTTTTATAAGGTACCCTTTCCAATTTTGCTGTGTCCCGCCATGTGTTTCAGAACACATTAAGCACACAGGGACCTGAGAATTTGTTACAGCTATATTTGGACCTAAACTAAGTTGTTCAGAGTAATTTTACATATTTTAGGGTTTAGATCGCCTTTCAGTATGATCATTCTTACCGAAAGTCGATCTAAACCCCCAAAACATGTAAAATTACTCCGAATACCTTAGTTTATGTCCAATTTTAGATGAAACAAATGCGCAGGACCCTGTGATTAATCACCCCTGGTACTGTACATGAATCCTAGATGTGTCAAATGTTTATGATGAATTGTCAAATTATTGCTTCCTTTTTTCATTTTTCTAGCGACAAGGGCTGGCCACATGCGATATGAGCTTGTGTAAGTTAAGGTATAGTAGTTTTTATTGTCAGCGTATAATAATAGAGACCTCTTCCACAGCACATATCCTCTCTGTCTCAACCGTGTTGCGACCTACTGTACCAGCCCTTACCTGCATTGGGGGTCGAAACACTATGGAAAACTACTAGAACCCCTTGTTTTTAAGCAATTTTGTTAGGGTGTTACTTGATTATGTATTTAAGGTGGCAGCTTACAATGTACATGCACTACCTACTCGTGTTTCAACACAGTGATATTCCCGATTTGTCCTTAATGAACGATGTTTACGTTATAACCAAAGTTCAGTACTCAATACTCAAACAATGTGTACGTATTAAACGTGTCGAACGTTTGAAAGACCGACTGGTCCCTTTGTCAATCTATCGCGGACTGTTTTACATTTTTTTTAATTCTGCTTCAGATAACTAAATTTAAAAAGGCAAAACAAGAATAATTCTTTCCTTAAAATTTCCAGTTATTATTTTCTATTATCATACCTGTAGTGGTAAAAACCCTGTAATGTGGTCGAGACAAATTGTTCATTTCACACTGTCACAATGGAAGGGTGCTTCCCAACGCCCTAGCAACGATCAAGTGACAGTGTGTGTGTGTGTGACGTCATATGAATACCATGTAGAGTGACCGCGCGAAGATGCGCCTACGGTTCTTCAGCTGCCATTTTGTTTTTAATAAGACATACTGCAATCAGTAGAGTGTAACACCGCATTGCTTATCCAAGATCAATTCACGTGGTTTTGAAAGCATTCGTTTTGCTTGACCTTATTTTAATTGTGCATATCAAGGAAAGCAGGTTCAAGGACGTACTGGTTCTTATCTCGTGACTAATAAATGTTGGGTATGTTTATTCTGGAAATCTTGAAGACAGTTATGGAAGCTTGTATTGTTGACAATACATGGTTGAACAAGTCAATGAAATATAAGGACTTTGTTGGTCACATTAGAAAATGTACATACTATCAACTTCCACCTGTGGTGCGGAAACAGAATCCCCATTTGGTGGTATTCATACCTTTTTTCTTGATATTTCATCGGTTCATGTTATTTTTTGTAGTCTTTTGAAGGCTTTGATAATTGGATATTGTGATTTTGGAAGATGTTTTAATTTTTTCTAATGCAGTTTGTATTTGTAATTTGATACTTTTTTGCTACATTAAATAAAACATTACTACATTTATCAGGATGAAAGGCTAATTGTCACTCGAACCATCCTATTGTACGAAGGTCAAGCGAGAGTTCACACACCTGCACAGCCAATATCCGCATTGATCAGCACGGAAAATTACAGCCAGCTTCTCGCGTGCGTACTAATACCCCGGGGATTGCTAGCGGTTCCATCAGTATTTCTGTCACTGTGACGTGCTTCGTCTTAGCAAGCAATACCACAGATTATTTTTATCTAACAAACTGTAGGAGGTAAGTATTACAAAGCCGCGATTTATCAACCGCTGATAACACACAGCATAATCCACACATCGTAATAATTAAAGAATCATCTGCTCTCACAAGGAGTTGGTAGCAATTAAAAAGAATCTCCGGAATATTGGATAATCGTCAAACTGCGTCATTGTGCATGTTAAGTGTGCCACTCACGTTACAATGATCGGGGACATCAGAAGCTTCCAGTCTACACAAAAGACATTCGTCGCCATTCGGGCTCTCTAATAACCGACAAACAGGTAAAACATTCGTCGGCTACAGTGTTGGAAAAGGTAATAAAGAAAACAAGTTATACCTTTTTGCATTGGTTCGCATTGGTTTTATTTTCAAACAGACTCATCGATTTTGCATTAGCATGAAACAATTGTAACTTAAACGAGGAAATATATCAACAAAGCAAAACATTGTACGTTGTGTAGTGTCTAAGTTTTTCTAAATATTTATAGCAGGAGAACGTAGTGATGACGTCATTGATAGCCTACAGACGATAGGCAGCCATCTACCACAGATAACAAGTACGTCATTACGGCCTTATAATGACGTCAAGTCAAATAAAGGCAGTGTACAGATAACAAGTACGGCATTACGGCCTTTTCTATAAAATTCACAACAATATGACTCCCTCTTCCCTAACTGACCTTCTCCCGCCACTAGTATCTACTTTAACTCCTTATAATTTGAGAAACTCTGAGAACTATTCCATTCCTAATTTCCGTTTATAATCTGCACTTAACTCATTTATACCTTCTACTTTTAAGATTATGAAATGAGCTTGACACTAATATTAAAACTGCACATTCTTTTAAGAGCTTAACAAACTGCCTCAAAAAACCAAATGAAACATTTAAAGTGCATGTTTTTTATTTAGCCGGTGACCGTAAGTTAAATATTTTACTAACCAAACTCCGTCATAAATGCAGCCCTTTAAATGATGATCTCTTTATAATCAACTCTCCTATTTGTACCTGTGGATATCCTAATTAAAATGCTCATCATTTCTTTTTGCATGCAGTAGATATACTGATCAAAGATTGATCAAATGATAAGAAACCTTCATAAATACTTATCTCTAAGCTTGAAGAAATTATTATATGACCATGAAGATTATTCGAGGGAGGAAAATATTTTTTTTTATATATGTCCAACAGTATGTATCGAGTACTCGCAGGTTTTGATATGGTCACGTTCTTGTGTCTCCTCTCCAGCAGTCATTATCTTTCATATTCATTTCTTAGCTTGTGTCCGTATTACATGGCAAAACGTGCACTTGTGTGTTCCTTATTATTTAAGTAATCCTCTGTTATGTTTAACTTTCTTTTAAGTGGACGAGAGCGTGAATGCAAGGAGTGTGTGCGTGCTTGAATGTTTCTGTAAATAGTTCCACTTACTGTTGTATATAATGTATGTAATATAGGCATGTGTTGGGCCATTCAGTGGAAACGAATTTTCGAGAAAGGATGGAATGAAAAGGAGAAAGCCACTAAGCACGGGACGTGACGAACTGTTGATCTGCTGAAAGTATGGAATAGTGCCAGGATATCACTCCGCTGGCTGTGCTTGATGGCTCCATTTTCATGACAAATTTTAAAATCTACTATAATTTGTACAAAAAAGTAAGAATGAATGTATGCATTATATGTTGAGTATTGATGATGTACATTATATAAACTGCAATGAATAAGTAATCTTATTTATCTTTAATAATGTTAATAATGTTCATGTAACTTGTGCATTCCTTTTTGGCAATACAACATGTTTAAACTAAACTACGACCTTATAATGACGTCATGTCAAACAAAGGCAGTGTACAGAAAACGAGGGAGAGTATCAAGATAAGATTAAAAACAGAGAGAGTAAAAAATGGATGGGTTGATGATAAATATTATGTTACGTATTTAGCACGCTCACAACTAGGATGAGGCTACGAACGTGAATCTTATCACAAAATGACGCTTATCACATTGTATGTGCACATATATTTCGTTGGAACAAACAAGTGCATGAAACCTATCCCATAAAACAAAACAACAAATAAGGCCGGGAAACCGACCAGAGACTATTGACAAAAGTTCATTAGTTAAAGTCTTAGTCAGTTACCAACAAAACAAACATCGTCAACAACTGAACTATAACTGTAATCAGCAGCCTGGTTTTTAATGGACTTTACGTGATCCTTCCCTCACTCAACATTTCCTCGTTGTACTCCTACTCACATTAATTTCGCGACTAAATACACAAGTTGAAGACGTTGCGACGAGTAAGTCAATGCTACACGCTGGTGTTGCGAGTTAGTATAGAGGTTACAGGGTATTGTGAAGTGCACACCTAGGTTACATCGTGTTCTCGGAAGTAGTTACTAATTACAAAGGTAGATAGTGTTGTGGCAAGTATTTACAAAGTTAACAGGTGGTGTTGCTAGTAATTATAAGGTTGTTTTAAGTAATTACAATATAAAAAGTTATTGTTGCGAGAAATTACCAGATTACACGGTACTGTCGCGAATAACAACAATATTACAATGTGTTGTCGCGAGTAATAACGAAAGTACATGTCGCAAATAAATTACAAGGTTATCATGTGTTCACACAGTACTTACCAAGAAACAAGGCTCTATAGCAAATACTTACAAGGTTATCAAATGTTCTCGCAGTTATTATTAAGAAACAAGGGTTTGTCGCGAATAATTTCATGCTTATCATGTGTTCTCGCAGAAATAATAACTACAAGCTTAAAGTTATTAAATGTTCTCGCAGTAATGATTAAGAAACAAGGTTTTGTCGCGAATAATTTCAAGCTTATCATGTGTTCTCGCAGTAATAATAACTACAAGCTTAAAGTTATTAAATGTTCTCGCAGTAATGATTAAGAAACAAGGTTTTGTCGCGAATAATTTCATGCTTATCATGTGTTCTCGCAGTTATAATAACTACAAGCTTAAGGTTATCAAATGTTCTCGCAGTTATTATTAAGAAGCAAGGTTTTGTCGCGAATAATTTCAAGCTTATCATGTGTTCTCGCAGTAATAATAACTACAAGCTTAAAGTTATTAAATGTTCACGCAGTAATGATTAAGAAACAAGGTTTTGCCGCGAATAATTTTAAGCTTATCATGTGTTCTCGTAGTAATAATAACTACAAGCTTAAGGTTATCAAATGTTCTCGCAGTAATGATTAAGAAACAAGGTTTTGTCGCGAATAATTTCATGCTTATCATGTGTTCTCGCAGTTATAATAACTACAAGCTTAAGGTTATCAAATGTTATCGCAGTAATGATTAAGAAACAAGGTTTTGCCGCGAATAATTTCAAGCTTATCATGTGTTCTCGTAGTAATAATAACTACAAGCTTAAGGTTATCAAATGTTATCGCAGTAATGATTAAGAAACAAGGTTTTGCCGCGAGTAATTTCGAGCTTATCATGTGTTCTCGCAGTAATAATAACTACAAGCTTAAGGTTATCAAATGTTATCGCAGTAATGATTAAGAAACAAGGTTTTGCCGCGAATAATTTCGAGCTTATCATGTGTTCTCGCAGTAATAATAACTACATGCTTAAGGTTATCAAATGATCTCGCAGTAATGATTAAGAAACAAGGTTTTGCCGCGAATAATTTCGAGCTTATCATGTGTTCTCGCAGTAATAAAAACTACAAGCTTATCAAATGTTCTCGCAGTAATGATTAAGAAACAAGGTTTTGCCGCGAATACTTTTAAGGTTATCATGTTTTCGCACTACTTACAATATCTAACAAGGTGTTGTGACATCATGTTACACCGAGAAAGAGATGTTATGTAAAATTTTAATAGACAAAAAATAGGGAGTAAAGACGAAGCTACAAAAAAAAAAAAAGACTCTATATAAATGGGAATACAGAGCAAGCTAGGCTATACAGCAGTTGGGTTGATGACAACGAGTTAAGGGTGAGGTTACACAGCAGTGGGATTGATGACATGGAGGGAAGGGCAGAGCTCACGTGAGTCAAAGAAAAAAAGGCGTGGCTACACAGCACTGGAGTGAAGGTCAAGAAGATAACAGGAAGTAAAGGACGAGTCTTCACTTCTTTGGAGCAAACTTCAGTGAGTTAAGAGTGTGGCTACACATCATCGGAGTCAAAATTGGGTTAAAGGGTGTGGCTTTACAGCGAAATATAGAGTTACGGGCGTAGCTACACATCAACAAAATAGATAACAGGAATAAAGAGGCGGGCCTACATATCAGTGAAGTCGTCAAAATCAGTAAGCAAAGGGTGCGACTACATATCATTTATATCGATCACAGGAAATAAGGACGGGTACGTATTATTTATAGGTTTTGAACTAAGATGTCCCTTACTCATCTAAAAAGCAACCTAGATGAAAGGTAAAAAGAATACATAATTATATCATGACCTGCATTTATTGAAAGATTACAGACGGTGTCTGAGAGTCGTCACGTGTTCTACATTTTAAATGGGTCTGATGACTTCGAGAGGGACTTAGGATACATATATTTGAATCATGGTCATATGCAGTTCCTTTGGATTTTCACCACTTTAATTGAGATCACACGGTATCTCGTAGTAACAGCTAGGATATTTTCAAAATTATGGCAAGGATTCCCATGAAAAAAAACACCTACAGAAATGACATGAGAAGGAGACATACTTTTAAAGACATGATGGCGTGTAGTCTATATGTAAATAACCAAACGATGTGTACCAGTGTTGTCCTGGTGCCCAACTTCTACATGTGCCAAATGTGGCCACTTTCACTCCTCTTGAAAATAAAACATTCTACTTTTAACACTTTACATTGTTTAGGGGAATCGTAATGTTTAATATCGGGTTTAATCTTTACCTACCGCTACGTTCTTCTGGGAGAGATGCTGCTCATTGGTGGCGTGTGACACGAGAGAAATAGTGTTCTCTATCATCTCTTAACAACGTTATGTTACCACAATGCCTTCAACATGAGACTCAACAACATCATGTAACCACACGGAACCTTCAACATCATGTGTTTACAATGCCCTAAACAGCAGGAAACAACAAAATGTGACCAAAGTAATGTGCATAACTAAAGTGAATTACTGGACCAGCCAAAAGGATGGTGTGCAAAATATTGTATATATTCTTTTAGATTGTACCTCAGTGTTTAAATCCACAGACGACAACGTTTCAATTCGTTCCAGAAAATTGAACCTCGGTGTACACACCCACAGACGATCTAGTCTTAACTGTGTAAGGTTCTCATAAACTGTTCAACAATGTACAAACAAGTACACGGCAGCATCTAAAGATTCCTCGTTCTTCACAATAACAGACGAAGATGTCTAAAACAATCTGTAAAGCTCCTCACGTACGTCTGTGTTAATCACCACAGTCGACGACGCACTGAATAATTGTGTGTGGTATTTCTTTAGATTGTATTCAACAGTGCGGTTGACAATGTTTTTTGTGATGCCTACTCTTCATCTATTTAACAAGAAGATAAATGTATTCTTCATTCCATATTCCAGAATTCTTTTATCAGAAATTGCGTAGCACATAGTGTAACCGAGATTTAAATTCGTTGATTATAAGTACCACCATCTTAAAAAAAAGCTAATGTTGCTCTTCGTTAGATATGACAGTATTAAATGGTACAGAAAACATACTCCAGCTCTTGTTCTTTCTAACAAAGATTGTTTTTCTATCATAACAAGTAGAGGGTATTCAGTGTCACAAGGACTGCAGTTTCCAGAAAGCCATGCCCCCATCTCATCCCCGTTTCCTCAGCTCCATTACAAGCGTCACTTTCACACGTCAACACACATCCGGTGTAACGCTCGCCCTCTAGGTCAAACATACCGCACATGTTCTCCAAACTCTCGATTGCACATGATCGTATCACGGTCACTGTGTTATCCGTCACTGCAACCAATCAAAACATATTATTAGTGACAATTAGTATGCGCTAAAAGATGTAAGTATAAATACTCTTCAAGACTGATTCTGCAAATCAATAAAGCAAAACCGGTGAAATTCTAATGTATGACGTTATGATGACGAGCACAACATGTAAAGGACAAATGACCGGTGAAAGCGCATGTACACTGAGTTGTAAAAATGTATACGAGTTGGCAATACAATCTCAGTCAATTCGACTACGATATAAGCATATATACACTTGGAATAAGATTAGGAATAGGATTCGGAATACGATTCATCTGATTTATTGTATTGTTTCTCCGATGCCTTCCTTGTATTTCTAGTGAAGACTTGCTGTTTCGTGGCTTCAACGTCTTTCTGATGTTCTTTTAGGCATATCCAAAATATCAGCTAGTACATGGAATTTGGAAAAGAACTCATGTTTTGTCTTCCATCGGCACTTTGTCTTTCGGATAAACTAGCTTGATGGTGTTGTGTGGTCGCATGGGCTTGCTCATGTGATGTTTACTTACGCAACACTCTTGAAAGTGCTTCAGACACCCCTTTTATGTAAGGGATAGTGACCATGCCTTTATTTTTTCTCTGTGTGTTTGTATCTACGTTTGGTCGTTAAAAATGGACGAACTGACGATCCAATCAAGAAGTCGACTCCATGACTATGCTTTGTTAAATACCTGGTCACATGTGCAGGTGTCTTTAAGTCTTTTGTGTCCAGTTACAGGGAGCACCCCTACACCAAAGATCCCCACAAAAGGTAACCTTCTGGAACCAATTGTAGATTATACTGGCTCCATTGGTACTTTGCTTCCAGGTCTCAAATGGACATTCTGGGACAGCTAGTTGGTAAATTGGAACATCACGTCCAGAACTGGAAGCATCTATTGGAAACCATTATCACCACCATGGTCTAGGAAGACGAGGAATTCATTTCCCTTGATGTTGTCTCTCTCTTTTAACCGACAATGACAATGACAATTGTTTTATTCTCATAAACAATACAATGTAGAGCGACGATGCAATTACAATCTTTCGAGTTCCGCTGGTAGTTAGACAGATCCTGGCTTAAAACCAAAAGTCTCCAGATCCAGGCCACCATACATTTGTTGGAATGAGTGCCGACATCAACATATTTCAGCAGTTTCAGAGATATCATATCAGAGCAACGCTTCGGCACTGCTATCTAAAATCTAGTGTTAACCATTGAGGCCATTTTTTCATGGAACATCTGGAACAACGATACATAGCATTGAACCAATAAAGTGCAATCTAATCTTATGATACGTTGACGAACATACTAGTACTAGAGATAATCTAGAAAGGGTCACAGAAGGATTTTACCAACCATATCATCGCAGAGTCCACAAACGGATTCAGACTCACATGCGAGGAAGAAAGCAATGACACGATGCCGTTTCTTGACACTTGAAGAGAAAGATGACGGAACCATGAATACATTGTATATTGTTCTATAGAAAAACCTATACGGACCAATATATTAACTTCAAATATCACAATCTTTTGCATTTGAAATTTGGCGTATTACAAACATTGCTCAACAAATATGATGCGATTGTCAGGGACAACAAAAAATATGCAAGAGCAGAATAAACATATCCGGAATGGGCACTCCAATGGTATAAACAGTTTCAAAGTATGGGGAAGAAGAACAAAAACGAAAGGTTAGATGGCCATCTTTCATATAAACAATACCTTAATTATGGCTTTAGTGTTGAGCAGTCGCCCATGTGCGGAAGGCAATGGGTTCCGTCCCCAGGCTGGGACATACAAAATCCTTAAAAAGGGTAATTGTTATTCTCTGCTTAACGATCGGTATTTAGGGTTATCACAACATCTGGTTTACCCGTTGTATGTATAAGGTGACTTGGTGGAACACTGTGTTGAAGGCCTTCGGGATGGTATTTCAGGCAGGACGCTAAAGTCGCCATCATATCCGCGCTATCACAAGAAGGCAAATTTACCAACATTCCCTGTCTCCAGTAGCATACACACATGCACGCATACATTTCACATTTGGAGCCACGTTCTTATTGACCTTAGCGGTTAAGAATACTATTTATCAAACCAAACCCGGATTTAAAGAGAATATCCGAAACTGTCCAGAGGTTACATAGCTGCTATGGAATTGCATCAGTCACGAAGCCCCACAAAACGCTTTGTAAAAATTCCTAGTACACCCTAAGGATACAACACCTAGGGGAAACATCGTAGAATATGTGTACAAAATCAGATGTTAGAATTGCGACACGTCGAATATTGGAGAAGCAGGAATGCGATTTAGGATACTACTTGATGTACTGAAACCAAAAAAGGAAAGTAATTGACCTGATCAGAGATGAAGCATACGAAGTCAACATCAAGAAATCGGCAATCGCATATCATGCCACACAGCTAAATCATGTGACTGACTGGGATACCATGTAACTCCAAAGTGTTGGACAGAGAGAGTAACCTGTTCAAGCGGCAGATAAATTATGTCATCTGGATACGCCGCAGTGGGCACGTCTGAATCACAGGGGCTCGTTTCGATCAATAAGTAATACGTATGCAATAAGTAACAGTAAAGATGTTGATGATATTGTATCGTATGACGACAACATCGAAACGAACACATGTGTCTGAATAGAGATGAGGGGGTTCATATTAGATCTCTGACATGTATTAAACCAAATAAACCTGTATAGATTTGATTGTCAACTCGTTCCTTTATAACTATCAACTAGATTTATATACACTTAAAGAGTAGCCGGATCGATGGCAATTGCATTGCCACTTCGTTCACTTGTTACACCATAGGGTACATACGTTTAGCTGGCCATTCGTCTGATGAAGATGACAGAGTACATATTGAAACGTCACGCATAACAATTTCACTGGTTGTGCTGTATGAATCGGTATGCAATTTAGCACATCACAGTTTCGTTGAAATATAGTTTTGTTCAAACATATTATAGAGAAAGTCATTATATAAATGTAAATCTCTGTTATTCATGATATTGTTTATCAAAGTCCTGAAACATTACATGAAATAAAATAAGGATATTTAATTATTTTCAATGATAATAGATATTTCAAATAACATAAAATAACTCAAGGTTGGGGATGATATTTAAAAGTATCGGACAATTGTTTGGTAATCAGGCCTTTCGAACTTTTCCAATTCTGAAAATATTTGGACAAAAGGATCGACTTAGAGCAAAATAACTGAACACACTAAAGACACTTTATTTGACAACCATTGGTTTCTGAAATACAATTTTAATCTAAATGGCTGAAATGTTTCATACAAATGAAACAATATGCATATTCAGAGCTAATTGGAGGAACATTCTCGTCATTTTTTTCAGAACAAGTCACACCTCTATCATGAATGACCTATTCATGGGCGTCAAACCCAATTGAAGTTTATATTGTTTAAAACTGATATCAAAACTGACCAAGAGTAAGGCTGCAGATATATCATATCACAGGAAAGTAAATATTAAATCTCAACGTACAGTTTTTAAAACGTGCTTTTTCGATAACCTATTGTATTTTTTAATAATACGTACTGCTGACACCGCTGATCTTTGTACAGTAGCGCGCGGGGAAAAATCCGCTTCTCCCGTCACGCCCTTGGCGACAGTTGGTAACAAGCTTGCCGTAGAGCGGATGGAACGGGTCCCCACAGTGTGGGTCTGTGTTGTTCTTGGAGTCACATACGTAACAGTCGATCTCAGCAGCTGTAACATACAAGTAAACACGTACGTAGAGTGTGCAGTATCAGGACTCCCAGAGCCAATTGCACACCCGTTACTTTTACATACATATCAATATACTTTCAACCTGAAGTACAGGAATACCCTACTCCTATAACATAAGAGGCCGCTGATCGGCCTTTTTCTATCGGATATGATTTTGCCGACTGCGACCTCCGAAGCACTAATTATTTGATGCAGATTCCACCCGAAATCCGGGCGGAACAAAATCGGCTTGAAAAACTCACTTTAGTGGTTCACAGTTTATGACAACGATGTCTACTCATAGTTCATATAGTATTTATCCCATATGTATGCCACAGACACAAATAAATAGTATATTACGGAATAGAACACTCAAAATGCATGTCCATGTCGTTGTATCACTTCTCTGACCTACTTTTACAACATAGCTTCTTGAGTTGATACAAAATATCAGAGAGGGTTTCAAACGGAACGAAATGATACAGAGTTTGTTTGTAATCCGTTTGTAGAACATTGCATGTAATTCATTTTTGTATAAACCAAGAAATCACGACCAATGCTGTCTGCTTCACTTCGAGCTCACATCGAAAGAGGAAAAACTAATTATTTATGTCTTTGACACGAAATTCCTCTTATTTAATCATAGATTTATGGAAAGGAATATTTATTGAACCCTGTTGAACATTTAAATGTATGTTAACACGCCATACTTTTTCTAAATCTGAACTTTGAAAATGTGATCGTCAGCTTTGGGAAAATGGCGCCTGTCAAAAGTTTCTCGCCGTGTAAAATCTCTAACATTGTTAGAGTAAGGAATACCCGTTATATAACTTCAGCGGGATGGGAACAAACCTTACTTAAATAGATTATTGTTGGAAACACCAGATACATACCCAAATATACCTTATATACCAAATATCTTTAAAAACACTACCTATCAACACAGGGATCTTATAATTTGTAAAAGTTTGGCTATATTTTAACCTAAACTGAAGTGTTCATGGTTCAGGGTAAAAGAAGGAGTTTTATATGTACCTGTGACGGTCGTCAGTCACACTGACGACCGTCACAGGTACATATCACACGAAACACTGCCGTCCGTCACACGTACACGACACACTGACGACCGTCACACGTACACATCACACTGGCGACCGTCACACATACATATCACACTGACAACCGTTACACAAACAAATCACACTGACGACCGTCACACGTACATATCACACTGACGACCGTCACACATACACATCACACTGACGACCGTCACACATACACATCACACTGACAACCGTTACACAAACAAATCACACCGACGACCGTCACACGTACATATCACACTGACGACCGTCACACATACACATCACACTCGTCACACGTACACATCACACTGGCGACCGTCACACATACATATCCCACTGACGACCGTCACACATACACATCACACTGGCGACCGTCACACATACATATCACACTGACAACCGTTACACATACACATCACACTGACGACCGTCACACTTACACATCACACTGACGACCGTCACACATACACACCACACTGACGACCGTCACACATACACATCACACTGACGACTGTCACGAGTACACATCACACTGACGACTGTCACACGTACACATCACACTGACGACCGTCACACATACACATCACACCGACGACCGTCACACATACAAATCACAGTAACGACCGTCACACATACACATAACACTGACGACCGTCACACATACAATCACACTGACGACCATCACACGTACACAGCACATTGACGACCGTCACACATTCACATCACACTGACGACCGTCACAGATACACATCACACTGACAACCGTCCAACCTACACATCACACTGACAACCAGCACACGTACACATCACGTTGACGACCGTCACACATACACATCACCCTGACGACCGTCACACATACATATCACCCTGACGACCGTCACACATACATATCTCACTGACGACCGTCACAGATACACATCACACTGACAACCGTGACACATACAAATCACATTGACGACCGTCACACGGACACATCACACTGGCGACCGTCACACATACAAATCACACTGACAACAGTCACACATACACATCACACTAACGACCGTCACAAATACACATCACACTGACGACTGTAACACGTACACATCACACTGACAACCGTCCAACCTACACATCACACTGACAACCAGCACACGTACACATCACGTTGACGACCGTCACACATACATATCACACTGGCGACCGTCACACATACACATCCCACTGACGACCGTCACACATATATATCACACTGACGACCGTCACATATACACACCACATTGACGACCGTCACACCGTCACGTACACGAAACACTGCAGTCCGTCACACGTACACATCACACTGACGACCGTCACACGTACACATCACACTGACAACCGTCACACGTACACATCACACTGACAACCGTTACACATACACACCACATTGACGATCGTCACACGTACGTATCACACTGACGACCGTCACACGTACACATCACACTGGCGACCGTCACACATACACATCACACTGACGACCGTCACACGTACACGACACACTGACAACCGTCACAGGTACACGACACACTGACGACCGTCACACATACACATCACACTGACGACCGTCACAGATACACGACACACTGACGACCGTCACACATACACACCACATTGACGACCGTCACAGGTACATATCACACTGACGACCGTCACACGTACACATCACACTGACAACCGTTACACGTACACACCACATTGACGATCGTCACACGTACGTATCACACTGACGACCGTCACACGTACACATCACACTGACGACCGTCACACATACACATCACACTGACAACCGTCACACGTACAAATCACACTGACAACCATTACACGTACATTCCACACGTATACATCATACTTACGACCGTCACACACACACACACTAACGACTGTCACACGTACACACACGCTCGACCGTGGATGTTGTACTTATCGATCGCGTAACTTACCACATGCCGCAGCCATTGTGTTGTAATTTTTACACCAGAGTTTTGTTTACAAGAAACTTGAGTCGTTATCGTTTTCATCGACTATTGATTTAATACAAGACACCCATTATATACCGTTATAGCCTTCAGGGTCATACACGTACTGGTTCACAGTGGTTGTGAGTCAATAAACCTATACCAGGGTTAATACTACACACGTAGCCTGATGTTAACTACAAACGTGCAATGATAATGATGACTTGATATTTTTACAGTCTGACATGCTATTTTGAAGTCGGTTGTAACAGATTATCATGCCGTTGAAACGTCATGTTATTATCTGACAAGACATTGTGACGTCATGTTGTTTCAGTCTGATATGAAATTTTGATGTCGGGTGTAACAGTTTACCATGCCATTATGACGTTGTGTTGTCAAAGTCTGACATATTATCATGACGTTGTGTTGTCAAAGTCTGACTTGTTATCATAAAGTTGTGTTGTCAAAGTCTGACTTGTTATCATGACGTTGTGTTGTCAAAGTCTGACTTGTTATCATAACTTTGTGTTGTCAAAGTATGACATGCTATCATAACGTTGTGTCGTCAAAGTCTGACATGTTATCATAACGTTGTGTTATCAAAGTCTGACATGTTATCATAACGTTGTGTTGTCAAAGTCTGACTTGCCATTTTTACGTCGGTTAAAACAATTTAACTTCACATTGTGATGTCATGTTGTTACAGTCTGACACGCCATTTTCATGTCGGTTGTCACAGTTTAACATGACATTTTGACGTCATGTTGTAACAGTCGTATATGCCATTTTGACGTCGGTTGTTATAGTCAGACATGCTATTTTGGAGAACATGTCATTGTGGTGTCATGTTCTAACAATCTGACATGTCATTTCGAGGTCGTTTGTAACAGATTAACATGTCATTATGACGTCATGTTGTTACAATATGACATGCCACTTTGACGTCGGTTGTTACAATTTGATATGTTATTGTGATGTCATTCTGTTTCAGGCTGACATGCCATTTTGACGTCAGTTGTAACAGTTGAAAATGTCATTGTGACGTCATGTTGTCTAAGTCTGACATGAACTTTTGACGTAGGTTGTTACAGTTAAATTTGATATTGTGACGTCACGTTGTTACAGTCCAACATGTCATTTTGACATCGGTTGTTACAGTTTAACATGTCATTGTGACGTCATGATGCTTCGGTCTGACACGCCATTTGAAATTCGGGTGTAACAGTTCTACGTGTCATTGTGGCGTCATGTACCTGAAGTTACATTTTGGAATGTCATTGTGACGTCATTAAATGTTTGGAATATCATTTAAATGATTTTGTGTACCAGTTTGGCCTGTCGTGGTAACATCGGGTTGTGACATGGCATCATGTTGTTGTGACGACGTGTTGTTACAATTAAAGATGTAATTACGATGTCGGTTTTTAAAGATAAAAATATGTCTTTGGTTTGGGTTTGTAATAGTTTGATCTCAATATGATGTTGAATTGTAACATTGTGACGTGTCACTGTAATGTCATATTATTGAGATCTTTTTAGGACGTTGGGTTTCTAACAGAGACATTTAGACTTCATATTAAACAGTGTGATTATCATAATGGCGTTGTGTTTGTAGTTTGTAGTTATGAAACCGTGCTTTAAAACTGTGATATGTCATTGTGATGTCATGTTGTAACATTTTCATTTGTCATCGTGACGTCCATTTGTAATAATGTGATATGCTTATTATGAGGTCGTTTTATAACAATGTGATACTTCATTATGGTATCAGTTTGAAACAATATGATACGTTATTATGACGTCGTTTTGAAACAGTGTGATAAGTCATTTGATGTCTTGGACGTTGCGTTGTAAAAGCCCGACATGTCATCGTTATCCCTGGCTGTCCACTTAAATTGTTATTTGAACGACGAGTGATAAGTCATTAAGACAGAGTGTTGTGAGTGTTTGATAGGTCATTGGGACGTTAGGTGGAATCAAACTTACAGACAATATGCATAAGATACAATAGGAAAATCCCGTGTATCACGGTAGGGCTCCAGTGCGCCATCATTGTTGTTATGTTTCATTAGTGGAACAGCAAGACTGGCAGGGTGTCGAAACCGATGCTCCAATATTCATTAACGTGGTATAAGGTTTCCCGTTGTGACGCCCTTTTAAACACCAAGGGTGTACATATTTCTGATCCGAAATCCTACTAAACAACATGGACGTACATATGTCTCTTCTGCTGTCCATTTATCACTACGGGTTTACGAATACCTGGTCCGATGCTCCACTAAACACCATCGACAACAAACTCCTGGTATGATCACATTCGTTGTCGGATGTCCCACATTACACTGTAGGCGTACGGATTCCAGGTATGCTGTTCCTCTAAACACTAAGGTTGTACATATGCATGATCGTACGTCGCAATAAATACCAAAGGCGTACAGAGTTCTTTTCTGATGTCACTCTAAGCACTGAGGGTATACGTATTCTTGTCCGATGTCTCACTAAACAAGAAGGTTGTTTATATTCCTGATCCGACTAACCCACATTGACGTCCAAATCCCGGATGCTCACTCGAAGTACGCTTTTAAATACGGACGTGCATTTACCGTATACTCATTGTGCACGCTATATCCTTTAGATTCACTAAATAAAGATTTTTATATTCTAGACGTGCAGATGTTGGAGACTAGACAAGGATGAACAAGGCTCTGTTTCACGTTTGTTGTCGGTTCTGACAAACAGACAGTCAGGGACACATAGTGAAGCTTGGCCCTCTTTTAATCTCACGCACCATTGCTCTGCCAGCTGAGCACGGCTGATGAATGCTTTCAAATAAATTGTCACTGGCTTTGAAATATAGATGAGTATCCAGTGCTACCTCTGGTGCAGAACCAATGTTGTCGCCGAGAGTTTAAACACTGTTGTCGTTATCGGTGTGCCGACATTGCATCCACACACACGTACCAAGCTCGCCTGCCTTTTCCTGTTGTCTCCAGCTGTAAGAGATATCAGGAATCAATTAAACCCGATACATGCTAACTATACATGGAGTTGTGTGTAGTTCACCATGGCTCGCTAACAGGACTGGCGCCCGCGCTTGCGTGTCTGGTCGTCAAGGATGAAGACCCGCTGTTGTCTGCGACAGGAGCACTGTGGGTGCTGACTCCGGGTGTAATTACAGCTAGCTGATGTAGATAGATGTGGTCTCGTCAGCTGGTATCGGGCGGTCACCAACCGTCGTGACTGGACATACAATGACCAACGTAGAAACGCCTCACGTTGGGGCAGTCAGCCGTACACACGGACGCTGAACAGTAGTGGTGGCCTCTCTGCGAAAGGGAACCAGAATATTGCATGCCAAATCGATATCTTACGATCCTTGCGTATTGACAAACAACATTTCTAATATTGCAAGCAAACTATAAGGATAATACGTCACTGCTTTTCAAACAAGTCCGGCCCGACGATCGAAGGAGTATATCCGGTACTGCCGAGCCTGATTGGCTGCTATTGTTTTATTGACCAAATCAATCAGATCTATTAAAGCTATTTCCTTGAATTCCATTGACAAGGGTCTATACAGAATGTGTGTGACTGAGAGTCCACGTAACATTCTTTATACAATTTTACATCGACATTCATTATGTGTGAATAAACGGCAACGTGCCGCCTGTACAATCAATAAACGTGGGTGATCCTGTAACACTAATCTAGTGGTACAACGTTAACATACATAACTGGTAACAGAAATACAGTATTTAAATAGACTGAATGAGTTAATCCAGTAACATTAATCCAGTGGTACAATATATATCAGTAGATAATCCAGTAACATTAATCCAGTGGTACAATACATATTAGTAGATAATCCAGTAACATTAATCCAGTGGTACAATACCTATTAGTAGATAATCCAGTAACATTAATCCAGTGGTACAATATATATCAGTAGATAATCGAGTAACATTAATCCAGTGGTACAATACATATTAGTAGATAATCCAGTAACATTAATCCAGTTGTACAATGCATAGTAGATAATCCAGTAACAATAATCCAGTGGTACAATATATATCAGTAAATTATCCAGTAACATTAATCTAGTGGTACAATATATATTAGTAGATTATCCAGTAACATTAATCTAGTGGTACAATACATATCAGTAGATTATCCAGTAACATTAATCCAGTGGTACAATATACATCAGTAGATTATCCAGTAACATTAATCTAGTGGTACAATATATATATCAGTAGATTATCCAGTTACATTAATCCAGTGGTACAATATACATCAGTAGATAATCCAATTACATTTATCCAGTGGTACAATACATATCAGTAGATAATCCAGTAACATTAATCCAGTGGTACAATACACATCAGTAGATAATCCAGTAACATTAATCCAGTGGTACAATATACATCAGTAGATTATCCAGTAACATTAATCCAGTGGTGCAATACATATCAGTAGATAATCCAGTAACATTAATCCAGTGGTACAATACATATCAGTAGATTATCTAGTTACATTAATCTAGTGGTACAATATATATCAGTAAATTATCCAGTAACATTATTCTAGTGGTACAATACATATCAGTAGATAATCCAATTACATTAATCCAGTGGTACAATACATATCAGTAGATAATCCAATTACATTATTCCAGTGGTACAATACATATCAGTAGAGTAACATTAATCCAGTGGTACAATATACATAACTGGTAACAGGACTACAGTGGTTACATAGACTGAATGTGTTAATCTGGTAACATTTATCCAGGGGTACAATATATATCAATAGATTAATCAGTAACATTAATCCAGTGGTACAATATATATCCGTAGATAATCCATTAATTATAATCCAGTGGTATAATATATATAGAGAGAGACAGGTATACAGATCCGGTATTACAATAGACATGTAGATGTTAGTTAATAATAATTCTGGTATCTGAATTGGATTCTGTGAACTATGTTGCGGTGTTCCTGAACTACTAAAATAGATCCGGGTGCCAACCCATCAGCATAGATATGGAATGGAGGCGGAGATGTTATCACGATGAAGCTGTAGACTATATTATTCACAGTCGAAGGTGAAAAGCGTTTATTTTCAATGATATATTTCATGACTGAGTAGCTTTATTCAGTATTTTCACGGAAATGTTAGAATTATCCATGTTCGATGCATAGGACGTTGGGTTAGATTAACTTCTTGATTTTTTTTGCCATGATTTAAACTAACGAAAAGTCTGAAGTTAAAGTTTATATAGCAATAGGGGGAGCGCTTACTATATATAACTGCAGCCTACGTACACACTGCACAATACGGTTCTGTAGTTCAAGCACCGTTTATTGTTGGCTCCTATCTGTAATAAGGGTATGAATTGAATTTCTCTGTCAATTTCAGAGGTCCTAACGACAACCAAAGACTGCATTCATAACTAAAAGGAATATCAGGTCTGGTCCTCGAAGACGGAAGACACGCCATAAAATGTACTCTGCAATTTGGACAAACCACCTTTTGTGCTACATCGGACGCACCCCTCATCGGAACTATTTCCAAAATGCGTTGGATAAACATTGGAAAAGTTCTTATTCACTAAACAATTATAGTACAGCTTTTTAATAATATGGACATTGACTTGCCGTCGCAATCAACTTTCCCTGGTATGGTGTAGAGGATATGTAATACTGTGTCAGCAATTCTTGAGTATGGTGTAAAGGATATATAATACTGCAATTAGAATTATACAATCTAATTACAAGTCTAATCTTAATTAGATTTTATAATACTGTGTAAGAAATTCTTGAGTATGTTGTTGAGGATCTATAATGCTTTGTAGAAATTCTTGAGTTCTTGCGAAATCTATCTTTTTCACCGATAACCAAACTGACTCACTTTTCCTAGACACAAAAAAAAGCATGATGTTGAAATGTTGGGAAGCGCCAAAACAATCGTATACCGTCTTCATTAGCTCATCAAAATTTGTCGCATCACTCACACTCAAAAATACAGGATTAACAGAGAGACTGTGCTAACAAATTATGAAACTTTATAATTCTGAAGACCAACGATCAGCATTTCTTAATTCAGCCTTTCCCACGACTATTTTGAAGTATATGAGAGTAAAATTGTAACGGAAGTTATGGAGTATTTTTTAGCGTCGTCTTCCCTCGTATTCGCCGTATCCGAACTCGTGTGATATTTTACCGTTTCTGAAACTTCATAAATAATGTCAGGTTGACGTTATGAATCCGGAAATGGAATGGGAAGTATATTCTATAAGTATCTGCAGGGTTCACGATGGGCGTACTGTGGAGTTTTACAGTGTATAGTTGGGCGATTGCAATGGTGCTTAGCTGCTACGGTGAATATTTCGAAGAGTTTAATTAAATATAATTCAAAAATCAGAAACATAAAAGGACAGAGCCAAAGTTATTCCGAAAATACATTCAATCTAAGAATAAAACCATAGATAAGGACAAAGGTAATCGTACCACAAAACGACCAGAAGAACGCCAAAACGCCGATCAACCATCTCAGTAGGACAATTGCAATCGAAATACAGGAACCATTACCAGCGTTTTAGGACTCTACACCGGGAACCAAATTAGGTGAGACAGTCATTACAGAAAAAAAATATAATCATCATAGTTGCTAAAGATAGTTTAAATGAGGAGCAGATCAGTCGAGCCTAAAAAAGATACACTAAAAATTATTGAGAATTGAGAAACAGCTAACCAAAACATTAGGAGTCGTCAAAATAACTTTACCAAAATCTATTTTGGGAAAACAATTTACCAAAATCATTGAAGCATTCAAACGCACCACGGCTTTGAAAAAAGAGCTAGAATGATGCATGGAATCACACATCGACAAAATATCACTCATCTAAAAATATCTTTTGTGGAAACTGTGGACCAAATGACCCTGTTAACGAGCAGCAGAGATTACGTAGCGATAGGGTATCTTATACCAAGCTTCTTTAAGCCGGAACGAAGCCCTGGATCAAGGCACAGACGTTCACGCCGTATACTTCAATAGACAAGGTGAATGATACAGCTTAGAATCTGCTATACAAATATCTTATATGGGTGCTCGTCTCCTAAAACGTCTGTTGCCAATCATTTTCGGAGCCCCTAATTGTGCTATTATAATATAATATACATATGTTGTTAGCGGTAAAGTGTACCAGAATTATTTTATCTGATTTTCGGTGATTCTGTTGAATTATTTGATAAGGTTCTCCAAAAAGGCCTTGGAATCTTTGTCAGCTGGAACAAGATCAACCGCCAATCATAACAGATTTCCTTTCTTAGAATTAGTAACGACATTGTAGAACTCGCTCTCAACATGTTTCTGGCTTAGATGGACGAATTCTGCAATTTTCTATCCTCATTCATGTACACTAAACTTTGCATGAAAACGTTCAATTGCACTAGTGCAGTGTTAATAGTAGGCGTGCTATCTCCTATTGCCATACAGGCCTATGCCTGAGCCGGGAACAGACAGATCAAGATCTGCCCAGAAAACGGCGGCTAAGACAACTAATCTGTCTCTTAGGATTTTCCTTACCGCCCGTACACTTATTTCCCTTTGTCTGCCCATTTCATCCCGTTGCTTTGGAAAAGACATTGCCTCTTCACAGCAGGCTCAGAACCTAGCGAGAAATAGTATATCATGTATCATGGTTTCCTAAAATAAAACTCCTAGCAGACGTACCCTCCTTCATGTTATTCTTTAACGAAGGAAAAACTGCTCTAAATAGAGCGTGACGTATAAAGGAGGCCTTCAAAACGAGTGAATGTTAAATAAAACTCGCTCACACGCTTAACCTTTAAATCTTGAAATCAGTTATTAAGCTTCAAGTTGAACAGCGTTGAGAAATGTACATTTAATTGCTTGCTTGCGAAAAGAACTATGCTTGCTTAATAACCAAGGAAACCCTTCTCCATATTTCCCATTTTTTTCTTCAAAAGAATTAAATAAGTAAGGAGTCTAAGGGCCTACCTCGTTCGTATCCGAAACAGTACTTCACAGGAATCGATATAAACTACGCTTTGTCGCTGGCTGTGCTACTTATATGTACCCAAGCAAGCTGTTACCTAAAGTTCTTACCACTATTCTTAGTACCACTATAAGTTATGGTGATAGTCGTACTGTGATGCTGTATACCCCAGAAATGGAATTAATGCAATGTGTATTTTGAAGAATTCAAAAGATATTTTGATCAATCTCAGCATTCCCTCTTAAAAAAGTGTTTCTTCTATCNCCCCCAGAAAGGCCAACGGCGATTAAATATATGGTTGTTGACTATTTTGGGGTATGTTTTGTCAAAGGTACGACAAAAAGCCAATATGAAATATACTGAGGATGGAGTTGTGAGAATGATTAAGTTCTTGGTGGCTGACAATAGCTTTATTGAATTCGGTCTCAAACTGCATTGCAATGATTTCCGGTAGACAAAACATTTCAATGGAAACAAATTGCGCTACCTTCTATAAGTCGGTTTGATTTCATATGGGGCTGAATTCATTCATGAGCTTATAAGTATCCCGAGTTTGAAATCGAGGCTCTTCTACGTCAGCTTCTTCCCTCGATCTTTACTTACAATATGACCAACCGGGAAGGCTTAATAATAAGCTGTTCGATGACCTGGGGATTTCGATTTTTTTATCTTGAATTTTCCATTTCTTGATAGTAACATATGTGCTTCCCCTACGGTATTACATGCTGCAATTGTTTCGAAATTCAAGGCCGGGTTTCCCCGAATGTTATTTTTATTTTCGTGATAGTTGTCGACTGCTGAGGGACTATGCAGGTTGATGAAGACAAAATAGTTGTATGATCACCATCATCATCTCATTGGGAAACATTTTATTTCTTTGTGGTATAGGAAGGTCAATATATTTTATTTAGCTCATAAATGTCCATTGCTGTTTTGTTGTCACAACCCCGGTCCGCGCTATTAGGACGTGACTTGGATTTAACCTAGATTTACATGGCGGGTGTGGTCGCTGAAGCAGCAGGTGCTTCCGGAACATCTGGTCTTATTCTCCTTGTACTTTTTCAGTTGTCTCCGTGACTGAATATTTCCTTTATCTTACTTTGCCCTGATTTTATTGATTTTGAGTTTCCAATTACAGTTTTATTCACACTTTGGTATTATTAAGATTTAATAATATATTATTATTGGGTATATTAAAATTACACAGTATATACTTCAGTGTAAAGTATAGGAGTGTGTGTGAATACTGCTGAATTTAGGTGAGGTTTTGGTTTTAGCCGAGAAACAAAGGAAATCAACGAGTTCACACCCTCTAACATAACCTACGATATATGTAGATTGATTAAATATAGTGTACATTTTATTAAACATATTTTTTTCTCATTTGTGCATAATGAAGCGGACACCCAAATCGAACTTAACACTGACTTCAGTATTTAACATGATATTTTAGGGAAGATAATTGTATTGGTCATCCTAGTACACCAGAAGAAAAGTTGTATTATCAAAATATTAAAAGACTTCTGAAGGACTGATATATTTGTCTACAAAAAATAATTTTGATGAGCGCTCCCTTAAAAAATATATAAGAAGGGGGACTACTCTTGTACTTCCGGTAATTTAGCACAACGTGAAAAACGTAAACAAACGATTGGTTTGGTCTCTGTGGCGGGCCCTCTGTGGTGATGTTTATAATTCGATCCTAGTTTTTAATTTTCAACTCTGAAGTAAGACTGACTTAAGCTTAATGCGTAACAATAGGGGTCCGCTATTTCGGACTAGTTGTATAGGTATTTGAAGCGATATCTCTGGTGTTTTTAACTTTTTAGGTGAATTTTTATACAACAGTTATTTGTTACAAACCGCTCTTGTTGGATCACGTAAGTTTATAGTGTCTGTCAATATATCAACGGCATACTCTTATGCAGGCGGCAGTAATGACAAGCGATGATTTTTGATTTTATTTAAAGGTGATAAAAGTACAATGTATCGGATACTAGCACCTGTGGATAGAATGCAACCTTGTCCATTAGGCTTTCGGTGTAGGGGTGTTCCTAGCAAAAAGTTTCAACATACATTATTGTCACCCTGGTAAAATACTAGCCGTTTCCTACCGTCTCGTCTATAGAGAATTTCTTGTTAGATCATTCGGTAGAGCGTAAGACTAAACCAGGGGTGTCAGGTTCGACTCCTAGCTAGTGAAGGCATTGAAAACATAATGATTTTTCAGAACGATCTGTTGACTGTTACACACGTAGGGATTCGGCAGATGTGACAAAAATACTTCTTGATATTTGCAAAGGAATCGCTATGACCCTTGTAAAACTCGGGACAGGTTTTTTTCTAGAGAGGAAATATGTCACCCTGGTAAAATACTAGCCACTTCCCACCGTATCGGCTAGAGAGAATTTCTCTATAGCTCATTCGGTAGAAGGTAAGACTAGTAAGCCAGAGGTCCCAGGTTCGACTCCTAGTGGAGGCATTGAAAAAAATAATGACCTCTGTTACATTAGCACCCACGTAGGGACTCGGGAGATATGACAAAAATACTTGGCGATATTTGCAAAGGAATCGCTATGACCCCTGTAAAACTCGGGACAAGTTTTTTCCAAGTGAGGAAATATGTCCACCTGGTAAAATACTAGCCACTTCCCACCAACTGGGCTAGAGAGAATTTCTCTATAGCTCATTCGGTAGAAGGTAAGACTAAGTAAGCCAGAGGTCCCAGGTTCAAGCTCCTAGCGGAGGCATTGAAAAAATAATGACCTGTAGATCTGTTGCATTGGCGCCCACGTAGGAACTCGGGACGAGTTGTTTCCTGGAGGGGGAGTATATGTCACCCTGGTAAAATACTAGCCGCTTTCTAATGCGGCTAGAGATTTTTTCTGTAGCTCATTCGGTAGAGCATAAGACTAGTAAACCAGAGGTCCTGGGTTTGACTCCTAGTGGAGGCATTGAACAAATGATGACCTCTGTTACATTATGTATCATTTGATATTTAATCTTGTCCAAATTAACAATGTCCTCTTTAGTTTTAATTTTGTTTTGCCCCCCCACACCTATTTTTGTCAATTTTCAAGAGAACATAATATATTTTGGACTATAAAAAAAAGTATATGAAATCCTGAATAAACTTTCATTATTAACAGGTTAAGATTTGGATCTATTCAGTAATCAGCCATGTCCTCTAGGATGATGACCTTGCCCTGAAGAATAGGCAGTAAGGGATGTGAACATTTGTACATGTATCTATATACAATATTGTTTAATTTTGAAAAAAATATTTACATTGTATTTTTATTAAAAAATATTTACATTGTATTTTTATTGTTATTTGATACAGAACAGTTGAAGTCTGCAGAATTTTCATTCTCCTCCTTAAGTAACCAACCGGATATACATCAATGCAGCAAGAGTGAAAACAGAGAGGCTGTGATCACTAGAACAGTCAGACATGAGTGGAGGACTAGCTCCAAGCAAGAGTACCATTTATGTTAGCAACCTCCCATTTTCACTAACTAACAATGATCTGCACAAGATTTTTGAAAAGTATGGGAAAATAGCAAAGTAAGTATATACATACATCGCTACCACAATGTGTGAATAATGCCCTTTTTGGCTTTATTATTTTTCTTATAAGTCTCATCCCACTAGTGTTGAGGGAACATTTTTTGCTAGATGTCCATTTCTTCATCCCATTATTTTGAAATGATTTGCTTTACTATGATAATATCGACTTTTACTGGTGATTTGAACATATATTGAATGATAATTGTTTCTGTTTAACCTGTTTTTTTTTAACCTTGCAGGGTGACAATCATGAGTGACCGGGTCACGAGACGGAGTAAAGGTGTAGCCTTCGTCCTGTTTGTGGAGCGAGACTCGGCTCACAAAGCTAGTCACGCTCTAAACAACACAACCATGTTTGGACGTACAATACGCTGCAACATTGCCAAAGACAATGGCCGCACAACTGAGTTCATCAAGAGGAAAGATTACCCAGACAAGTCACGCTGCTACGAATGTGGGGTATGTGGTATTTGTATTTGGTAAGGCGTGGGATAGGCAGAATGCTTGTGGGTAGTATATGATATAGATGTGGAAAAGTTTGGATGAATATACTACAGGATGGGTTTATATGTTTCCTTTCATTTCTCTGTAATAGCTTCACTATATGATATAAACTGTTTGATGATCTGCTATTCAATATAGGAGGAAGGACACCTGAGCTACAAATGCCCAAAGAATTTATTAGGAGAGCGCCAACCACCACCAAAGAAGGATAAAAAGAAGAAGAAAGACCAAGAAGAGGAAGGCCAAGGGTAAATGAGATAGTCTTCAGTTTCTGTAGCACATAGCAAAGCTGTTACATGAGAGCTTCCTGTTTCTGAAGTCTAAAGCTGAGTTAATGAACGAGAGCATCTTATTTCTATACCGTATAGAGACCTTATAGCTAATAAATAAGACAGCCTTCAGCTTCTATAGCACATAGCCAAGTTATAATTGACTCATTTACCCCTGAAATTTCATGATGGACTATTCCAACCATTGAATTGGTAGAGTTCAAATGTGTCTTCAGGGATGAATGAGTTAATGTATGAGAGCATCCAATTAATTTGGAACACATTTTACAACAGACCAGGTCAGTCAGTTACTATTGGTGTTGCTTTCTTTACAGTGAGGAAGAAGAGAATGATGATGATGAGGAGGACAATATGCCTGACCCAGCTCTGGACAGCCTAGCTGCTACCATCAATTATCAGGTACACATCAAACACACAAACTGTCAAATTACTAGAACACACAAACTATCAAATTACTAGAAAACACAAACTATCAAATTACTAGAAAACACAAACTATCAAATTACTAGAAAACACAAACTATCAAATTACCAGAAAACACAAACTATCAAATGACTAGAACACACAAACTATCAAATTACTAGAACACACAAACTATCAAATTACCAAAACACTTAAACTATCAAATTACTAGAACACACAAACTATCAAATTACTTGAACAAACAAGAGGCCCAATGGGCCTGCATCGCTCACCTGGTTAAAATCTCACACTTGCAACCTTAAAAGTGATCTAAAATAAAGCTACAGTCAAAATATCAGTATTTATGATTAAAGTCATTCAAAAGAACCTGTTAAAAGATTTTAAAACATTTCACCCTTGTTACTTTGAATGTCGAACAAAGTCATTATGTTGAACAAATTGTATAGCTTTTCATCTCAGTATGCAACTTGCAAAGTATCAACATCCTGGGACCCATGGTTATTCAGAAGAGGTCATTTAAAGATTTTAAACAAATTTGACCCCTGTGACCTTGAATATAAGTCAAAGTCATTCCTTTAACAAACATAGAATTCCTTGATCTGACTAAATATCAACA